TGTATCCTTGACACCTTATTCCCTTCCTGATCCCAGTTCATCCTCTGTCACTGTGTTTCATGCTCTTATTGTTAGAAATATATAATGCTGTATAAGGTATAAAAAATGAGTCACAAGACAAACCCGTACACACACACACACACACACACACACACACAGAGATGAACAGAGATATTTTCTCTGTTTTTTGTGTCACAGGAATTCCAGCCATTCCCATTGGTATGCGGCACCCTGGCGGGCCAATTTAAGAATAACTAGCCACACACACACACACACACACACACACACACACACACACACTGTTATACCAGAAGCCGGCTCAGCCTTCGTCTGGGTCTTTCATTGAAAGTAAATGAGAGGCTTATCTACTGCATATCTGAACAAGACACTGTAGGAGAGAGGGATTATCAGTGTGTGTGAGAGAGAGAGAGAGAGAGAGAGAGAGAGAGATGAATGCATCACAATCCTGATCTGCAACACGGAAACACTCACGTACGCTAATAATTATACAAGGCGAGAAGGGGATTTGCACAAATATTGATCTATTATCTGATCGATTTGGCAACATTATTCCCGAGAGAGAGAGAGAGAGAGACAGAGAGAGAGAGAGAGAGACAGAGAGAGAGAGAGAGACAGAGAGAGAGAGACAGAGAGAGAGAGAGAGAGACAGAGAGAGAGAGAGAGAGACAGAGAGAGAGAGAGACAGAGAGAGAGAGAGAGAGACAGAGAGAGACAGAGAGAGAGAGACAGAGAGAGAGAGAGAGAGAGAGAGAGAGAGAGAGAGAGAGACTGCCTCTGGCCCTCAGGATTGAACAGCCTCCCACACACTTCACGAGCACGGCACGCACACAGCCTTCTGTTCTTAGTGCATGATTAATGCCCACACAGTGTTCATACCTCCAGGGTGTGTGTGTGTGTGTGTGTGTGTGTGTGGGTGTGTGTGTGTGTGTGTGTGTGTGTGTGTGTGTGTGTGTGTGTGTGTGTGTGTGTGTGTGTCTGACTTTCAGCCTCTTGTATGTTTCTGTGTTTCAGCTTCACGGGTCCAAAGAACAAAACACTTTAAGTTAAGAGTTTCCTTAAAATAAAAACAGGTGCAGAGAACACCCTGTGTCTTTTCTCCTTAAAGCTTTGAATGCATTTAAACTGTTGCACATATCAAGTGCTAATGGCAGCAAATCAACGGTCTCCGTGGAAACAGTACAATTTTACCGCTGTAAAGTCTTTTTCACTGCTGCAAATGCCTTAAATTTTTCCTTAACTAGAGAAACCTTTTAGTGTGGAACTTAAGTAGAAAACTTCAGGTGTTTTGTGCAACAGGAAACAATCAATGAATCATAAATCAATCAGCCTGATGTAATGTCTTCACAAGCAGACTGATCACAGTGTTAGTTACTTTAAGCAGGCACACAGCAGATACAGCACAAATATGATACTGACTGATTGGTATCAGTAACCGTCAATCAATTAGTGGTAGTAATAAGAATCCAGCTGTGAGCTGTGGATTCACCATCAGCTGCGGGTTTGAACAAAAACATAAACATAAATCAGCTGTTCAGTGATGTCATGTAGGCGTCTGTTTGTTTCATCGCCAGCATCTCAGTAAACACCTGAGCGTCGCGGCGTCGTTCGGATCCCGGCGCCTCGTCAGGTGTTTTCACTGCAGTCGCACTCAGACTCAACACACATGACAGTGACACACACACACACACACACACACACACACGAGAGAGAGAGAGAGAGAGAAGGAAGAGATCAAATGTGCATTTAGTATAAAAAAGCAGCAGGATGTGTTTCCACTGGGAGAGCTGATCTCTGCTGCGTTGTGTTCACTGACTCCGGTTATTTAAAGCGTTGTGAATAATCACTGTGTGAGAGTGTTTGAGTGTGTGCGCCGAGCTATTTTTACCTCTGAGTGTAGCCTGTGAATGCGACTTGTTTTGACCTACCTACAACTCGGGTGTCTCGTCATGCCCTTTGCCAGCCCCTCCTCCCTCCTCCCTCCTCCCTCCTCCTCCCCTGTACACAACTGGCACACTCACTTCCCACGCTCGCACACACTCGCACACACTCGCACACAAAATACAACGCCAGTAGCTGTGTCTCTCCTACACACAGGAACTGGGGCAGGTTGTGTCGGTGCGTGTGAATAAAGCTTTATGTAAGCCATTCACTACACGCTCCCACTCGCGCTGCAGACGGCCGCCATTCAGCAGCCTCATTACAAAACCAGTCACTTTACATACGGGTCAAACTGGAGTTTTACCAACAGTTATCTGCAGGCCTCGAGGTCAGACTGTGCTGGGTGTCATGCTGAGATTCAGGAGGTCAGATAGCTGTCCAGGTGTGTGTGTGTGTGTGTGTGTGTGTGTGTGTGTGTGTGTGTGTGTGTGTGTGTGTGTGTGAGAGCTGCATCAAGCTGGTTCATCCACTGGCGACCACAAATGGCAGCTAGTTAAAGTCTTAAAGTGAATTTCGAGGACTATCATTAATCAGGAGGGAAAATGTTTGGACTGAGATGAGAAGAGGTTGAACTTTGATTGGTGAGTTCAACTTTCAGTCTACATATAAATATATTTATATGTATATTTATATGTATATTATATATATATATATACATATATGTATATTTATTTGTATATATATATATATACATACATATAT